AGCAGAGAAAAATTAAAAAAGCAAAAAGATTGGCTACATCATCTAGTCCAGTCACTTCTAGTACAGAAACATGCTTTGTCTGGACAAGTTTTACTGACCCCAATCTCTGGCTTCTGTCTCTTGCCTGGGGATGTTTTTGCGGCATAGCTGTTCTTCCTCTTTCCCCTACTAGTGCATTTTTGGTGTCAGTCTCCTTTCTCCTCCTCCTTGGCACTGGAGGGATTTCTGAGAAGACTGTCAGTTGTTATTTCTTTTTGCTGCTGAGGGAAGGAGGTGAAGGAAGGCAATGTCATTTCGGAGACAGGGAAAGGGAGAGACGACAGGATAGGAAGAAGTGTGGACGCTGCACCTTGAACTGATATTTCTGGACTCTGTGTGCTAAAATAACCTCTTTCTGCTAGCAGGCAAATACTGATATACCTGGCATTCGCCAAGAGTCCCTCCCCAAACCCCTGTGTGAAAGGTGCACTGATAAACTATAATTTTGATGCTCTAATAGCTGTGACTTTTCCTAAAAGGACATTGTTTTTTTGTTTAAAATAAGCTCCTTGTCACTGCAAGGGCAGCTCTTCTCTGTATATAATCCACAGCTTTTTTTTTTTTAATGCCATGTTGTATCACAGTCTGAAACAAAAATTGGCTGCTGCTTTTGTTTCTTATTATTTAAACTGAGAGATCTCAGTGTATCTAGAATAGTCAAAAGTGAATCAGCCAGTCAGTTTTATTTGTAATGCAAAGACATTATTTAAACCCCGCTCCCAATTTAATCCTGTATTTCTCTCATCTAAAACCATACAGTACATGAATGGAAAGTCAGTTGCTCACGAATCCATTGCTGTGCAGTCTTTTACATAAACAAAGCCATAAGGATAAGCAAATGCCTTCCTTCTAATTAGCAGTGTGTTTTGTGGTTCCATACATTCCAAAATGTAATAGACAGCTACGGTGCCTAAAATAATCCCAGAGAAAAAACTCTCATGCCGCGAAAATAGGGGTGGGAGGGAGAGGAGGCAGGAAAATCTGTTGTCTGTGTTCTTGGAAGCCTTTTCTATCTCCATTTGGATACTGTCAGCTTCTTTTACACAAACATTACAGCATCCAAGGGGAATTAGAAATGCTTACCCATGACCACAACGTCAGATCTTAGGTTTGTCAGGAGAAAGCAATGCAAAAGCAGGATCTTGGACCCGCTGCTTTCATTTTGGTTTTAGCATGCTGATAAATGCCTCCTAATGCTGGAAAGAGGTAAGGCTGGCTGTCTAGGTGGAATACAGGAAATTTAAAAATCTTACCTCATAGCCATGAAATGGTTTTTGGATCTGTAAAAGTGCTGTATAAGTCTTAAGTAACAGTTATTGTCTCTTGTGATGTCTCTGAAGTTACACAACAGCTTCCCTTTTATACCAGTCTTTCATGAAATGGCTAGGGACCACTCAGGACAGAGAGACAAGACTGAGATACTACTGGTCAAATGGCTTTTAACTGAGATAGTATTTGTCAAATTGAGCCTTTTAACTTCAACAAGATTTTTTGTAAATGCACCTTATCCCAGCACCAGTGGAAATAAGAAAGGCAACACTTTTCACTGGTAAGTTTTCATAGGATTCTGTCCCAACCTTTTTGCACTGATCTGTGCCATACCCAGCGTTGTGACCACGCTGTAATCTGCACAGGGCTAAACAAGTTGAAAGCCCATGAGCTCGGGAGCCTGCATGGCCATGCCGCTGTACTTGCATTGCAAGGGGTCGGCAGTGTAGATACAGCCTGTTCATATCCAAAACATCTACAGAGCTGATGGGGCTGCAGGGCTTGACCAGGCTTCAGCCCCTTTCACGTGGGAATATATGTTGTAACTCTTATGCTTCCATTTAATCCTTTCCCAGATCAAGGCAGACTAAAATCCAGTTTACAGGAAAAAGCCGTTATCTAAAGGCCAGACAGCTATAGGGCAGGAACAACAGCCGGTCGTGGTTGGTTTTTTTTTTCCCATTGCTAAGTGGAATGTAATCCATGTTGCCAAAGCCCATCAGCTAAAGTTGTGATTTTGGGAAATGAAAACAAATGAGCTGTGTCATACAGCTGCACAATCTCCTTGAGGTGCAGATCTGCTGGCTGGACACAAACCAATGCAGTCGTTTTGCCATGCAAAAGTATGTACTGGTTCCTAACGCTTGCGCCTTGACCCGGTATGTAGGTGAGAAAGACGTAGGAGAGAGCCAGTGCTCTGAAACTGATCTTGATGAATGAGAAATGAGCTGCCAATATTTAATGGTGAAGATAATTAACTATTGGAACAACTTACCTAGGGGATGTACCTGGACCTTTATTATCTCAAATCTTTAAGTCTAGTTTGGATGGCTTGCAAAAGAAGGTGCTTTGGCTGAACTGCCAGTCCTTGGGCTTCCTACAGGAACACAATGTCCTGGGCCTGTGCTGGACATGAGGTCAGACCAGCTCAAGGATGGACAACTTCTATATGCTGCTCCTCTTCTGATGTTCTACTTCTGCTCTCTGGGCCACCACAGTGTGTTGTTTTTGCAATACCACACCTCACAGAAAGGTCCTGGCGTGGCTTGGTGTCTTCCCCATGATGCATTCACCAGTGCCCATCATACAGCTGGTGTGCTGACCAGTCAGCCTCCCCACTGTTCATAGGCAGTGACCGGTTGACCATCTGAGAGTAAGTGACCATCATGATCCCTTCTCTGACCCCTGGCACCTTGGGAACCCCATAAAGAGAGGAAGACAAACGAAAGATTTTTATTCTGTCCTCCCAGGAGCCCCCAGACAGAGATGGGCATCTGTAGCAGCATAAACAGTGGTCGGGAAAGAGGCTTGTGAGGAGCCCTGTCCATTTGTTGGGAGCCTTCCCGTGTCTCTAGGCCAATGTTGGCAGAAGTCACTCTCGTTAAAAAAGTGTTAGGAATCCAGCAGTGGCAACTCCACTAACAGCGAGCAGCTGTTCTGGTGATGCCCTCCAGAGATGTGGCTCCTGCAATCTGAGCTGCTCCTTTTTTCCACACACAAGTGATTTCCCAAAATATTTATCATGGTTTTGATCTTTGCCTGAAACTGAATTTTCTTTTCTATGGTTGGAATAAAATTGCTCTGGATTTGGAAAGACTGAGACTTTTCACTCACCAGATGAGGGTGCATACATGTAAAATGTTGACATGTCTTTCCCTTCGGTTTGGTTAGAGACAAAGATATTGTTAAAAATTTAAATCTAAAAGTCTTATTTAAACGTTAATCTCTTACAATGGGTGTAACAAGTCCACATGAACGTAGTTACAAAGTATAATATTTTCATGAACTTGAAGAGATTGTAAATTGACAAATTCTAGCAACTTAAAAAGACCCTGTGTTTGTGTCTTAAAATATCATGGAGTGGGATTAAAGCTGAATTTTTAACCTTTCTTTTCCTACTTTTTTTGTTTTTTAAAATGTGTGGTTGCCTGGTTTTAATGTTGCAGCAATAGTTTGTGGCACAGAAATAAGAGTATGCTAACTGTGAAAGTTGGAGTGACTCATGGCTGACTTGAGAACTTTCTTCACCACGTTTTGCCTTCAGGATACTGTCACCGTAACAGTGTTAGCAGCAGCCCAGGCAGTGCAGAAAGACCAGAACTATGTGTTCTCATCACACAGACAGAGCTGTTTCAATGGAAAACTTGAGCTGCTGATATTTCCATAGAGATCAGCCTAGATCCATGGTAGTACTTCTCAAGGACTTGCGTCTTCAATTTTCTTAGCTATTTTCTGCAACTCTCTAAACAAAAATATCCATGCTCCAAATTCAGAAAGGTCACTGTCCTCAACCACAAATTTAATTAACAGCTTTCCCCTCTACTGACTTTTTTTTTTGTCTCTTTAGTTAATTTTAACCCAGTGTCCCACATTAGGAGCCTTTAGTTTCCACTTGAGGGAGTAGATGCTTACATGAGTGGCCCCAGGGAAGTGAAGCTTGGTAAGTGATCACCAGTGGGAGCCAGGGTTATACATGGCATTACACCGTGGAAAGCTTCCGATCTCCTGTTGCAGACAAAATGTCTACAAAAACAATACTACTACTTTTCAGAATTCCTACGTTTTGCAGATGTGAAGCTCAGTTTCTACAGGGGAAGCTACGCTGTTTTGGGGGAGCTCATAGTGCTCGGTCTTTTTGCTGCTGCTGCTAATTTTTGTGAGCACCATAGAATACAGTAGAAAATTGAAACTGTGTGAAAGATCAACAAATCAGTGTAGAATGTCACGCAGCAACATCTGTTAACTTTGGCTCTATCTCATATCCTCCTGACCCCTCCTTTCCAGCCACAAGTCTGTTTTGTGAGAGCTCAGAGTGATAGGGACTTGGAGGGGGGGCGAAATGTTTAGCTGTTTCTCAGTGGTCTGAAGGGCTTGCAAAAGTACCATCTGGAATGAAAATTTTATGTTTGTGTGTTTCTGTATTTTTAGTTATGAAACAAATGGGAATTTGCTGAATGAATTAATTGTACTGCGCTGTAAAAGTCTGTCTTGAGAGCCGTTATATATGGGAGCTTACAAAGCATGCAGAGAGAAATGAAAGCGGCTTCCCTTTCTAATTAGGGCTTTCAGGAAATCGTTGATTACAGAATCAAATAGGGTTGCTTAGACACATTTGTTTGATATTACTTCTGATAAATGAAATTTTTACCTAATAATAATTCTACTAGTGACACTGGAAGCAGCTGCACTCTCTAATGGTAAGCCTGCCTTCAATAAAACTTTCCCCTTTCCTTTCTACCTTGTCCAAACAGTTAGAGCTAATGAAACATTACTTCCAGACTGTAGTTCCCAGTAAAAAATTTAGATCGTGAAGAAATGAGTGATATAGTAGATAGTATGTTCTTAATGGGATGGTCTTTGTCCGCACCAGGTTAATGGTATAAGCTTGTTCTTGCATTGCATTGAAAAAAGGTCTAAACAAAACCTTGACGTGCTATGTAGAAATGTTTTACTTTTTTTTTTTTTTTTAACAGGGTCAGCATATTTCACTAGCTCCCATTCAAAAGCTAGAGGAAGCTTTGTATGAGTATCAGCCTCTGCAAGTGGAGACATATGGACCACAAGTTCCAGAGCTTGAAATGCTGGGAAGGCTTGGGTAAGTAACACAGCCAGTTTTAATTCCCATTTCATGGCATTATAGCTGGGACTGTTACCATCTTCAGTTTGCCAGCACATAAGGGTTTTTTTTTTTTCTTTCTTTTTTTTTTTTAAAGGATCTTAACGAAATATTAGACTTCCTGCCCAACCAACATTTTGTTTGGGTGGATAAGCTGAAATTTTTGGTCCTCTAGCCTTTATAGATCTATTGAGAGCTGGACTGGATTGCATTAGTGTTTTTAAGGTTGTCCTTGGCAGTTGTAGTGAAGTAGCTGTTCATTTTCAGTTGCACGGTATTAAAAAATAAATAAATAAAAATCTGGGGCTTAATTTGCCCAGCTGTAAGCCAGTAAAAATATTAAAGTTGGGCTGTTTGCCATGGAAAAGGGTAGATTTACTTGTCGACTGCTGTCTACAGTCAAACTGCGTTTGTGAGAAATGAAGCACAGAGCTTAAGTTTGTCAAAAAATATAATACAGGGCTGGTCCAGCAGCTTGGCAGCATCATGGTGTGAGCCATGTTTGGAAGGGAGTTTGGGAACCTGCTGTGCCCGGGTAATGGAGGCTGGGAAGTCCAAAAGTGACGTGTCTGCTCTCTAGAGACGTGTTCGTAGCTGAAACGCCACCTGAAAACGCGTAGCTACTGGGATATTTAGTGTCATCCAGCCCATCATGGCCTAACTTTCAGGGTCACCAGCACTTACAGTGGCTGGAAAACTACGTGGCAGAATGAATGTGCAGACTGGCAAGGCAAGACAGAGTTTAAAAAATAACAGTTTATGTTTGACTATGCAATATGGGAAAACTGAAGCCACAAAGTTGAGACACTTTAGTAGGCAGTTTCAGAGACCACTGAAATCCAAACAGGAATCCCATCTAGTTCACTGGCACAGGAGAAATTGTATCTCATCCAGAAAATGATAGAGGTAGATAGACTTTTTTAAGTAAATAAGCAACCTAATGGTGCTTCAGAAAATTCAAGGCTGTCTGGAATTGAGGTTGTCTCCATTTTTATTGTTTCTCCGTCCTCCTGATGCCTGTAACTTTTATTATTTGATATCAAGCTTCTGAGACCAAATATTAATTAGCAGTTTAAACTTGGGCATAGCCAGACTCAGCCTTCACCACCTGTTTGGATGGAGCACAGCTGTGAGGGACTTCCAATGTGAGGGGAGCTTTGAGGCCCTCTCAGCCCTAAATCTCATCACAAATGAAAATGCTGGGGGGGAAGATGACTTGTGTAGGGAGGACTCCCAGTCCCTGTCCCTTCGTATGTGCCCCCATAAGGTGAGTGCTGGTGTCCAGATCTGGCAGGAACCCTGTGCTATCCGTGTCCATCCCAGCTGACCACCTGTGACACTGGTTTGACGGCAACCCAACATCTTGCAAAACAAAATCCTTTAAATACTGTAGTTGCGTTGCAACGTCTGTGTGCGAGCGTATTTGGAGCAGGGTTTGCAAACAACGCTCACAGTCTTTTCTTGGAGACACTTTGACACACATGTCATTTTACTCCTCCAAGCATGAACAGCTAGGCTTGTTCGGCTTGGCTCTGGAGGTGATGAAAGAGTTAAGAGCGGCAGGGGTGCTGGGTGGCTGTGGTGGCAAGGGGAGGTGCGTGGGTGGTGGGTGGGTCGGTGGTGCCCACCAGAAAAGTTCTTCTGAGTCCTGAGGCTGTTTGCAATTCCAAAACAAATATATAGATGCTGTGGGTTCCCAGCCGGTACAGCTCTAACCCTATTCCGTGGGGTGTCTGAAATACCTTCAGCCATGCAAGACTATTCGTTTATATATTTGTGTTTCTGCATTTATATGAACTCATGCGCATTTCCTGTTGATGATGAATGCTTCACTAATGTGCCTCCGTCCCTGCTTTGGGGTTTTTCAGGCAGCTGTATACAGCTGCCTGGGTGAGGCAGAAGAGCTGGGCACAATGTTATCCACTCCTGCTAAAGATTTTGTTTCCTCTTCACTTGGACTCACATAAGAACAGGTTAAATCTAAATTTTTTTTTTGTTTGTTTCTCCCTCTTTTCGTGTTCTTGTTAATAATTTTGCAGTCTGGCTATTTATTCCTGCTAAGTAGTTGTGCAGGCTGTTATCATCTGAGTTTCTGGAGCCAGAATTATTGCAAAGACACTGCCAACCTGGAGACTTTGAATTCACTTCTGGTAGCGTAATTTATTGACTTTTTTTTTAAAGATACAGTTTATCATCTTCAAAACACTCAGTAGAATGGGCTTTTTGAATGTTCACATCTTAACCTCTTACCTTCTGCAAGACTCACTTTAGGTTTCAGCATCAGTGTTGCTTTTCTTTCTTAGTAGACTGCTGTAATGGAGACAGCTGGCAAGAAGGTTTTTAGCAAAGAGCAAGAAAAAGGGTGAATTCTTAAGGGATCATTTAGAACATTTCTTAGGGATATTTTATAATTAAAAGAAATTGCTTTTTAAGATGACTTGTATTATTTGCTCATTAGGCTTTACAAAAACTGTGCCATCCGTTAAACTTGATTCTGCATCCTCCCATTGCTCTTCTGTATGGATTTTGCATGTCTTGCAAAAAAGCAAATTTATGTTCAAACTGGTTTTAGAAATTTGTTTTCAGTTTCTCTTGGGGCTGTAAATTTTCTTTTTTCTGTGTACTGCAGAAAAGCATTAACATCTTTATGATGCATTTTTTTGCTGTTGTGTTGGAAGTCTGAGAATAATGAAGAAACAGATTTTTTTTTTTTTCTTCAACACAAATGGTTGGTCTAATGTGTAGGGGTTTGTGTCCTTCAGGGCTCCCCCCCAATTTTTTTTAATGGAGGAAATTTTTCTGGAAGTAATGAAATCTAGGCAATAATCCTGAATTACATGGCTCTCTGGGAGCAATATGTATTATACTAACTTGTAGACAGCGTTTAACCTTCTGGCAGGGGGAGTGAAGCTTTCTCAGAGCCAGTCTTGGATAGAGGTTCCCTTGACTACATGTCTGTGGGGTTCCTGCAAGGAAGTCTCAGTGGCTGATAGTCCCATGAATACACCCTGAACATGCCAGGTTGGTGATGGTTTGATCTGGGTGGCAAAGGTCATTTTGGGTGTTCAGCCTGTGAGGCCAGCTCATGTGTGTCTCAGCTGTCAAATGGAAACGTGACTTGGAAGGATGAAGGGGAGAAGACATGTACCAGAGTGTCTCCCAAACCGGTGGTGCTGTCCTCGGAGAAAAGTGGGGTCTTGGATCACTGTAACGTACGCGTTCTGGAGGCAGGCTCTATAGCTGCCTGTCCCTCCGTGGTGGCTATTAGTCCTGGGTCTGTGTGACTTGGTCACTACTCTAAACTACTGAAGTGTTCAATGACGTGCATTGGGAAATTGTTGATTTCTGGGTGGAGTTGAAGGCAGCCCGCTGATGGGAGTCGCATTTGGAGAGCCCTGTCTTATCAAAGGCCCTACTAGCACTTCTGTGGTCACCAGAAACGGTTAGGTTGGTGTAGTTTGAGTAAAGTGGGGAGTGTCATCTTTTGGTTCAAATCAGTCCAAATCGGTTGAACTGCCAAAGTCATTGCAAGGCTGGGTGACCTACCATGGCTTTTGGGGAGAGGAGGTGTGTGGCTGAGAGAGCGAGTGTGAGCACCTGGATGCTTGGGCACTCACTGCCATTACTTTACTTGGAGGTTTTCTTAGAGGGGTAAAAAAGGCCTGTCTTCCTTTTTTTTTTTTGTCCTTTTTTTTTTTTTTTCCTTTTTTTTTTTTATTCTTTTTTTTTTTTTTCCTTTTTTTTTTTTATCCTTTTTTTTTTTTTTTCCTTTTTTTTTTTTTTTCCTTTTTTTTTTTTTTCCTTTTTTTTTTTTATCCTTTTTTTTTTTTTTTCCTTTTTTTTTTTTATCCTTTTTTTTTTTTTTCTTTTTTTTTTTTTTCCTTTTTTTTTTTTATCCTTTTTTTTTTTTTTCCTTTTTTTTTTTTTTTCCTTTTTTTTTTTTATCCTTTTTTTTTTTTTTCTTTTTTTTTTTTTTCCTTTTTTTTTTTTTTCTTTTTTTTTTTTTTCCTTTTTTTTTTTTTTCTTTTTTTTTTTTTTCCTTTTTTTTTTTTTTTCCTTTTTTTTTTTTTTTCCTTTTTTTTTTTTATCCTTTTTTTTTTTTTTTCCTTTTTTTTTTTTTTCCTTTTTTTTTTTTATTCTTTTTTTTTTTTTTCCTTTTTTTTTTTTATCCTTTTTTTTTTTTTTTCCTTTTTTTTTTTTTTCTTTTTTTTTTTTTTCCTTTTTTTTTTTTATCCTTTTTTTTTTTTTTTCCTTTTTTTTTTTTTTTCCTTTTTTTTTTTTTTTCCTTTTTTTTTTTTTTTCCTTTTTTTTTTTTATCCTTTTTTTTTTTTTTTCCTTTTTTTTTTTTTTTCCTTTTTTTTTTTTATCCTTTTTTTTTTTTTTCTTTTTTTTTTTTTTCCTTTTTTTTTTTTTTTCCTTTTTTTTTTTTTTCCTTTTTTTTTTTTATCCTTTTTTTTTTTTTTTCCTTTTTTTTTTTTTTTCCTTTTTTTTTTTTATCCTTTTTTTTTTTTTTTCCTTTTTTTTTTTTTTTCCTTTTTTTTTTTTATCCTTTTTTTTTTTTTTTCCTTTTTTTTTTTTATCCTTTTTTTTTTTTTTTCCTTTTTTTTTTTTTTTCCTTTTTTTTTTTTATCCTTTTTTTTTTTTTTTCCTTCTTCTGATGTTTTAGCTGAGCACACTGAATTTGTGTGGTTGGAGATCTGGATTTTTCTTATTACAAAACAAAAGAAATGAAAAATATAACAAACTCTGATATGCCAAGTAGTGAAAGACCAAAACAGGATGGGGATGGAAATTAGTTTGTTGTTTTAAAAATATATGTTTGTTATGTAGTTTTGATTAAAAAAAAAAAAAAAACCAAACAAACCCTGAGGATCAAAATTATGTTTGTTTGAGGTCTAGAAAAATGTAAAGACATTCTTGGCATTAATTTTAAGTATGTGGCTAGCAGGAGTGGCCACACAGCATTCTCACACCAAGTA